AAGACTATCACTTCACACAACATCTGACAGAGACACAGAGGGAGAAGAAGGGCAGAACAAGGCAGGGGGAAGAAAGTGAGAGGGAACGAAAGGGATGAAAAGAGGGAGGGAGAGGGGGACATAATAAGAGAAACATGGCTGGAGATGAGACAGATGTGCTTCATGGGAGGAATCATAATCTCTGTATGAAAATGAGTACTCTTATTAAACAAGAAAGTATGGTTCCGTTGCATACTAATGAACTGATGAAGACTAAGGAAGTTCATATCTTTCTGATTTCTGTTGCTTTCTTTCTTGTCATCTTTTCCTGTTTATCCTTCTTGCTCTGTTGTTATGGTCCACATCTATATTTGGACTACGTTGAATCAGTGTGTATCATACTTCATGTACTGTATGTAGCAGCGTATGTTCCTGAACTCGTGTTGGTTTTGGCCTAGAGGCCAAAGCAGAGTCGTCTCTGTGTATTTGAGTCAAGAACTAATGTGTGTGATATGTACAGAATGTGTGTGAAATGTACAGAATGTGTGTGGGTGTTTCTTCCTGAACTAAATAATCCCAAATGACAAACAGTAAGCAGACAGTTGGCTGAACTGTTGAACTAGAAGATGATGTTACTATAAAAGAAATGTGTTTTTGTTGTTGTTACGGAGCTGTGGGTAGGCATTTCAGATGGCTTCCAAATCACATTGCAAGTTGGAGAGATTTCCTAATAATTAGCATTAGTGTGTCACATTTCTATCCCGTTCTGTCACTGGCAGCGAGCAAAGAGCAAACATATTTGTTTTCATGAGTGTCGTACAGCCCTTACCAAGAGGAAATATTCCATTATGTTTAGCCAAGATATGAATTCTGCAGTCCTGCTGGAATACCTGATTCATGAGACCAATATCTATACAGTGATGCACGTATATACTGTGTGTGTGTGTGTGTTTGAGTGGATAGTTCGTAAATGCCCAGAGCTTATCAGACTGGAAGCAGTCACCATAACAACAGTTGCTGTGGTGCAACTGTGCATTAATGTGGCTTAGTAACTACATATACAGTATTTGACTAATATTCCGTCTGGGTTTCTGTCTTGTTTGTCTCACATCCTCCCTCAGTCGTTGTATCCATATTTATTTACCATGAGCACTGAAAGCAGTAATCTTTTGTCACATTATATGTCATTTTTTACGTATATTTTTATATCCATATGTAGATATATTCCATTTTCTGGAAACAGTACAAATAAAATACCCAGATGGGGATGTGTGTTTTTTACCTGGCAAATAAGATTACTTAATCACATTGATGCAAAAAAAGTAAACTCAATATTGCCATAAAACTGTCCTACTCACTGATTTGCAACATTGCGTACAATGGCCTGGGATAGATTCCGCAGTATAAACGGTATGGAAAGATCTACAAATGTTATCATCTTGTGGCCTAAATCATCAGATTGCCCATCCCTGTCTGTCAAAATCGTTTAGTAAATTATGTTAATCATAAATTATTGGTAACATCACTAGTCTGAGTGATTTCAGTGATGGTGTTTTGATCAGACGAACGGCTGTCAGTTCCAGCCCTGTACGGAGTCATTTGGGAGGAGCTATACAGTAAATGAATGTAGTGTGAAAACAGTCTGTTATTTAACTCACTGTTCACCATTGCTGGTGGAGATAAAACACTGGTTCTGGTACGTCACTTTACCAGTTAGAATGATTGATTTTCCTCCTCTTTCAGTGTCTTTTAGAAATTACTCGGCTCTGAATTTTCTGTGTAACATCTCTGAGTTTTTTATATTGTGTTCAGCTCTTTTTGCTTCATCGCATTATTTGCATACATTACCTCAGCATGGGTCCCCACAGTTGTGCTCATGCTCATGTTAAAGTCAGGCACCATTACAGTAGAGTTGTAGCTCCTTGATATATATATATGTGTTGTTTTTTTTTGGGGGGGTTCCATGTTAGGATGGAATTAAATTTTAAACAGATTTTGACATGCGTCTGGATTCATCCTGTGGAAGTTATGAAACCTACCTGATACCCAAACGACATATAACATGAACATAAACTATAGCCCTTCAGCGTGTGATTTCCCGACGGGCATCATTTCCCACAAATTAACTACAGAAAACAATATAGAAGAAAATGTCTGTCAGATAGCCGTGTCTGTCTGGTTCAGAATGATGGCTGGCCAGCTTTGTGTGTGAGCCAAACTCTTGTGCTGAGTTATGTTCTCCGCAGTTCATTGTTTGAAGCTGCACAGACCTTGCTGGTTTTGTCTGGCCTCTTATCTGTTGTTATTGCTTTGTGTCTACTGCAGATGTGGTTATTACACTTGGGTGGCTTCGTGTTGGTCTGTATCTAACTGACAGAAATAGCTATGTTTTTTCATGAACTTTCCCATGTAATATCATTTAACCAGTCGGTGTTTGCAGCGCAAAGGTCATCAGAATAAAGACCAAGGCTATGAGGGTAAGAAAGTAAGGAGACCGAAGGAATTGTAATTGACAGAGCTAAAAGAAGGAGACAGAAAGAAGAAGTTTTTGGAAACGCTGTCAAAGCTTTGGCCTCAAACCAAATAGCGTCAGCTTGGTCACAACCTGATAGACGCAAAACACTTCAGTGTGACATTACAGCACAGCCCTCTAACAGTGTGGTGTGTATTGTGTTGTTTTTTTTTGTGTGTTCAATTAGTGTGCTGCTTTGCTTTTAAATATCTCGATAATGTATCTGCAGCTGTCTGTTCCATCAATCAAATGTCCGCGATGTTCGAGTATTGTGTCTTGGGCTAATGTATTTACACCCGTTGTAATGTTCTCCATTACCTCATTGTGTGTGTGTAAGCTCGTAATAATATCATCCACTGACAGATTTAATTATCAATATTCTAACATTTTCTCTCCTTCACATGATAAACTACACAGAGTGACTTCTTACTGTATGTGAGCTCTTGCTAAACAAGCCTTGGGCACCTCTGCTAACCCTGACTCCCCTGTGTTTATGCTTTAATGTTGGAATAACACTAATAATTCAGAGAAATCCTTTATACACACACACACACAAAAGTGAATGTAGTAATCCTTTTGGGTTGCCATTCATTAGTACTTGAGCATCTAAATTGCAGAGACTTTCAATATGAGCGTGTTTAATAAGATGAAATCAAAGTTGTGTGACTGAGCATCTGTGCCTCACTGAAGCCCAGAAATACTGTGTAAAATGAGATTATCAAGCTGCACAGACACACACGATCCAACAATCTGTTTTTACAGAGGTGAGATTCAAGGTTATATTTTGAAAAACCTGCTGTATGGGGCGTCATCTCGTGGTTGCAGACGCAGACCATGTAATCACATTGTCCCCGGTTTGATTTCAGCTGGGGACCTTTGTTGCATGTCGTTCCCCCTCACTCCCCATTTTCTACGTCTGTCTCCTTTCTCCTGTCATATTACGTCGTTTAGAGTTGTGTTTCCTGCCACCTGGTGAAATTCCAGTATTCACTTTCTTTTAGTTCTGTTGGGTCTCTAGCAACTCCTGAGGGAAATATCTGGCTCTTTAGTGGCTAAATGCTCCACAATGTTCTGTGTGCTAACTGCGTCAGTCTGCCGTTGACGGAGCAGGTACTGTACAGTGGATTTTAGAGCCTTCGCTGAAATTGATGCTGTGAGAGCAGTGAGAGTGAACCCAAAACAGTAAAGTCGTGGGCTAACGATACTGTAAAAAAATAAGTAATTTTTCAAACTTTTTAGCTGTAATCTCTGCTGTTAAAACATGTTTAAACCATTGAATAAATGGTGAATGGCCTTTTCTGATCTACCAACCACTCAAAGCACTTAACAACACACCTATTCACACTAACATTCATACACTGATCATCACTCCCCTGTGTCCTGTTCGGACAACTTATTCGGAATAAGTTATGTCCAGAAGACTTCCCATTTTGCTTTGGCTCTCTCTCACCTTTTTGCTCTTTGTCTTTTTTAGACATTATTTTATTATTTAGTAAGCTGTTTTTGTTTTTATTATTTTTTATTTTGAATTCAAGACCAGAATAAAGACCCAGCAATCAGTCAATCTCTACGGTTGAATGAGGCAGAAATGCAACATCATTATAGCCTGCAAGCCCAATATCTTTCTATATATAATTTGTATGGATCATATTAGCCTATGCAAAGCACACGCTCATAAACACACACTGACTGAGTTCCTGTGACTCACATCTTGTTGTGTGTTTGTGTGTGTGTGTTTCCGTGATGCCCTCTCTACTGGCTGTAATTGGCTGCGTGAAGGAGACAGACACTGCTCTCTAGCTTGTTATCAGACTGACAGGCAAACAGGAAGGGACAGCAGTGTCACTCTTGAGAAACACAGAAGACCACGGAGGCAGGAAGCACATGCACACACAAAAACAGACATAAACGCCACAGCTGGACACACACAGCAAACACACGCAGAGGTGCTCAGACACGTACAAGTACTGTGATACCAACAGGCTGTGACAGTGAGGAGAGTAGCTAATGTCTTGCTTATAGATAATCTGAAAGAAGATGGGTAGGTAGATAAAACTAGATAATGGATGCACACAGTTTAATATAGCAAACGGAAAAGGATAAGACAAGGTTGTTACATGGGAAAAGGTCAAGACAATGGCAGTCACATAAAGGATGCTTGAGTGGATATGTGCATATGTTTGGTAATGTAGCAGCTTAACTATGACCGAAACTGTTTTCAAATGTGGAGCAGCGGAACAGTTTTTATTCAAACACTAAAATGGTGCAACAGAAATGAAAGTCTGACATCAGGGATTTTAGAAATCTAAAGTTCTGGTCCCGTTCCAGCTCACTGAATCATTCACTTCTTGAGAAAAACTGCAAAACTTTTCTACCTCCGGCCTTGAGAGCTTTTTGATAAAAGTGAATTAGCTTTTGAATCCTTTTGTTGCCATGACAGATCATAGCAGAAGCTCAGTTGAAAATTTGTGCAGAATGAACTAATCCTTTTCTCTCTCCTTCTGTCTAGACGTGAGACCTTGTTGAGGTGTTCCCAGTGCAAGATGGCTCGCTACTGCAATATCACTTGCCAGGTATAGTATGTGTATTCATCTGAAAGTGTGTGTGTTGGCTTGTGTGTGTGTGTGTGTGTCAATGTGTTTATATGCCCTTCTCCTGCAGAAACAAGCATGGTCTGGCCATAAGAGAGAGTGTAAATGTCTGCAAAGTCTCCGACCCAGAATTCCCACTGACTCAGTCCGTCTGGCTGCGAGACTCATCTTTGCCATGGTATGTTTCTGGAATTTCTCAAAATAGTGCGTACAAAGAAAGATACAATAAAAATGGCTATTTATACCTGTCCTTTTGTTAGTTGTGATGGGCCGTACATTGCTGCTATGTTATGAAAACTTTGCAAATTCATATTTTTTGGGATATCAGTGTTTATTCACTTATGAAACCCTCTTGAAAACCAGTGCATAGTTTTAAAAAATCGATTGTTAATAAAACAAAGATTCTTTTCTTAGTGCCTGAGAAATTCATCCAACAGCAACAACGTGCTTCAGGGAGTGCCACACAGCATGTGCAACAATAGCAGGAAAATAATTCTGTAAAACAACATAACAACATGCTAATGCCCCCTTCTTCTTTATCCTTCTAGTTAAGTCCATCTAAGAGCAGTAGTGAGGAGCTCTACAGTTTGGAGGAGCATGAATCACGTAAGTCTCTCCCCACCATATTTACTGTAAGCTCTCCCTAGACATGTTGGGAACATAAACAGATGAGTGCATTTCTGTGGGGTCAAAGCTAAAGCTCTCTCCAGACACTGACAGAAGCTCACAGCGACAGACACACTTTTCTTTTTAATTAATTTTTACAGACCTGAGTTCCATGTCTGAGCAGAAGAAACAAGGTCTGTCTCAGCTGGCGTCCATGTTAGAGCTGTACCTACAGCAGGAGGTACCTGACCTGGCACAGGAAATGACATCAGCACTGCCACCTTCCTGTCGAGAACCCCTCAGCCTTATTGCAAAGGTGGGCTAAATGCATTTTGACACACAATGTAATGCTTGTTTGCGGTTGTATATAGTACATAAACACCTAATGTACATGTGAATTTACACACACAGGTACAGACATGCCTACCCATGCACAAAAGGACAGACAGACACAAACAACTGTTTATTGCTTTTAGCATCCCCTGCTGCGTTTGGATGGACCCCAACATATGTCTAAGATCTTCCCAGCATCTGTGATTAGGTCCTCGTGGTGTGTGTGTGTGGTGCTTGTGTTGTGGTGCTGGTGTGTGTGTGGTTGTGTGTATTCCCCGCAGAAACGAAAGCCTCAGGTTCGTTATTCTTCTGAAGAGACAGCAGCCAGGCTGGCGCTTCACTAGAATTTAAACCCACAAATGTGTGCAAGGATGTGGTTTGTTTGGATTTTGTTCTACCTCTGTTATCTGTTAGCCTGTGTGACTCTGCTGTGAGACTTCATGGCTCCAAGGTGTTTGAATTTCAACTTCAAGTGTGTGCGTGTCTGTATTGTGTTTTTCCCATCACAGTGATTGTAGAGTATGAGTATG